TGAAGAGTGGGCTATGAATGGGGAAAAAATAAGAACCAAGATGCATTATGTAAAGGTACAGTTCCCCATGAGAAATATAATTGTGTTGTATACCTACAATGTACAAATAAAAGAATTAATAACAAAAAAAAAAAAAAAACAGAGAAAGAGAAAAAAGCAAGTGCCATTCCACAAGGGAAGTAGGCAGCAGAAGCTGGCCCCAGGAGTCCCACCAGAAAGTGCAGTGGGCCCTTGGCCAGGTTATTTGGCTTGGCCCAGTCTCTTTTCGCTCACCTGCCCAGTAAGAGACTGAGTGGTGGGATTTCAAAGATTCCTCCCACCGCTGTAGTTCGGTGATGTCTATAAACCCCATCACCAGGAGGAACTTCTGAGATGGCAAGGATGGAGGAGGGGCATGGTGGCAGAACCTGGCCCTGTATCACCCCCGGATCTAGGGAGAGAGCATCAGATATCTGTATGCCCCCACACAGGTCCTACCTGGCAAGGCTGCACTGCTACAAATAGTGACCTAAGTAGGGCCTGTCAGTACCCTCTGTACAGAATTTGTGGCAAGTGGTGGGCAAGGCCCAAGAATGGACAAGCCCTTTGTCACACTGGCTATGTCCTGAACCCAGCTTGGGAGCTGCTGACAGTCAAGGACAGAAGCTACACAGAGAAGCAGGTGTATTCTCAGGTACCTGCCTATCCCTGCAGTGCAGGGGAGCTGCTCACCTGGCCCCAGTGAGATTAATTTGTCCCACAGAAGAAAAAAGAAAAGGGCAGGGAAGAGAGAAAACCATCGTGAAGGGCCAGAGAAAGTAATCTTCCTCCTTAGCCTGCAGACACTCTGCCAAGTAAGCTGGCTGAGGCACACCCTTAACTGGTGATGAAGGAGGTGGCATTTCAGCCAAGATCATCAGAAAATGCTGTCTTTAGATGTTCACATGTATAAGAAATGTCAGCCCAAGAACACCCAGGACCCCCTCCTCTCCTGAAGTCCCTTGGAAGAGAGATGAAGGGGTTGTGGTCAGGGACAGGACTCCTGAAACTCAAGGCCCGTGGGGGTGCCCTCACCCCCCGTGAAGGAAATTGGGGGCATGGAAGTCTGCACAGGTGCTCCGGCTGCCATAACAAAGGTGCTTCCACAGCATAGGTTTATTTCTCACACTTCTAGAGGCTGGAAGTCTAAGGTTAAGGTATGGACAGGACTGGTTTTTCCTGAGGCCTCTCCTTGGCTGTAAATGCCCTCCTTCTCTTTGTGTGTTCACGTGGCCTCGTGTGTGTGCAGCTGTGTCTTATTCTTCTTTTCTCATAAGGGCTCCAGGTTCTTTTTCTTCTGAGGACACCAGTCAGGTTAGATCTGGGCCCACTTGTATCATTTATTATGGATTGAATTCAAAATTTTGGGGGGGCCAGGGATTTAGCTCATTGGCACCCTGCCTGCCTCACAAGCGCAAGGTCCTGAGTTTGATCCCTGATACCAAAAAAAAATTTTTTTTCCAACCCATAATAGAAGGCATTGCCAAACTCCTGTATACCAGAAGCCTCTTTGGGGGGCAAACAAATGACATCCTGGGATGAAAATCAGAGGTTACCCACAAGGGATGTGTTCAAAGACCCCACGGGACACATAAAACTATGGATGATACCAAACCCTGTGCATACTGTTTTTTCTTATATAAACATGCTTGTGATAAAGTTTCATTTTTATTTTTGGTACCGGGGATCAAACTTGGTTGCAAGGCAGGCAGCAGAACCACTGAGCTAAATCCCCAGCCTGAGTTTAATTTCTAAATTAGGCACAGTAAGAGACTAATAGCAGTAACATAATAAATTAGAATAATTATAATAATACACTGCGATGAAAGTGGTATGAGGTGGTCTCTCTATCAATCTTATTGTACTACAACCACCCTTCTTTTGATGATGCAGATGATACAATGCTTACATGATGAGAGGAAGTGAGTTGAATGACGTTTTCAGAATGGTATCCACTTTATACCTATGAATTGTCCATTTCAGGAATTTTCCATTTAATATTTTCCCACTGCAGTTGATTCTGGGAAACTGAAAACAGAAAACAAACCCCAGGCTCTGAGGGCAAGGGGCAGGAGTAAAGACAGAGGCTGGGGACTGCGGAGACCACTGTACATACCAGCCATCTTCTGGGATTGTTCCATATTTCTTCAAAGCAACCATGGAGGGAACGCTCAGGAAAGCCAGGGAGAGCTCCTTGTCCTTGGGCTTTAGAAGAAAATGCCTAAATTTTCATTAGCAATCAAAGCAAGCATTGCTTCATACAGCCACGAGCAGTGCCCCACCAGAGCCCTGCAGCACCAGGGAGCAGGGCTCTTCCCTGGGGGTGCACTGGCTGGGGAAAGGGGCAGCAGCCTGGAGGGAGGCACTGGGGCATTTGCTGTGGAAACATCCCTCTGGGTTCTGCTGCCGGTGGAAAAGGTATCTTGGTGCCCCTCAGTGAGGGGGAAGGTGGTATGTGGCTTTGGGGACAGGAGGGACTGAAAAGGGGCAGTTTTTGAAAGAGAGCTCTGCACTCAACTTGGGAGATAGCATCTACAGTAAACAGCAGGGCAGCCGGGGAAACTGAACCTTTCGTTGGATGTGGGGAGCCCACCCCACTTCATCTCTCTGTTTGATCTTACAACCTGAAGTCACCCACCAGACTCTTGGAGATGTGCTGGGGTGACCTGGACCCTGACCCTGTTTGCTTTCCCTGCAGGATGAATGAGCGCGACCGCCTCATCAAGAGGCTCAGCAGGAAGACGCCCCCGGCCCTCTTCCGAGGCGGCTCCATCCAGCAGTGTGTCTCACGTGAGTAGCTCTGCCTCCCCGGCAGGGCCGTGAGACCTCGGGCAGGCGGGAAGGGTGACCGGCTGCGGGTGGCACTGACAGGGGTGGAATCCTCCTGGGCGTGGGATTCACATGTGCCACCCCAGGCGAGTGGGGCATAAACGTAGGCGGTTCCCTTGCAGCCAGTCAAATACCTCAGTGACAAAATCCCGATATGGTTACATCCTCCTGTCGGCCTCACAAGAGAATGTTTTTAAAGCTTGAAGTGATAGTACTTTTAAATTCTGCTCTCCAAAGACAGCAAAATGAGTAAATTTATTTAAAATTAGCATAGTAACTGAAACAATGGCAGTCCTTGGAAAGAATAATCTCCATGCCTTTCCCTGGAAGGCTAGCTCATGTGTAGGGTTGCCATCCCCCCCTCACCAGCCCCATTCCCAGAAGGGTGGTGACTGAGAGCCCCACTTCGGAGCTCACAGGGAGATGCGACCTTCTTTTCAGCAATCCAGCCATTTAGCTCCCAGCTGACGGAGTCCTGGCTGCAGTCCCCAGGGCCCTGTGGACCAGCCTCCTTCTTCAGCCTGCCCTTCCTCTCCTCTGTGAGCACGGTGCAGCTTCTCCTCCCGTCCTCCACAGGACAGGGGTTTAGGAGGCAGTATCTAGTAGAACAAGAAGACTTATGAACATGAAGAATCTGTGCACACATTGTATGGGTATTACAGAGCTGCCCGGAGGCCAGTTGAACTCTACCTGTCATCAGGGAAAGAGCCATCACTGTCCTATAATCCACTCCCTCTCCCCATTCCCCCTTCTAAAACATCCGTATGGGGCATGCCACCTGTCCTTGAATGCACCACCACTCCAGTGGGTAGGTGGCACTGGTCCTGAGAACACAAAGCAGAGGCCCTGGTCAAGAGGGTGACTGGCCCAGCCATGCATAGTGCCCCATGGGGTCTGGTCAAGCTAGGTTTGGTGGGATCCTCCAAGAAGTGCAGTCTGCAGGGCACTCTATCTGGAGTCGGGCTGCTTATCTAGGTTCTTGTCCCTGCTCTGCCACCTTTTTTGCGTCTGTGGGCAAGCTCTTTAATCTCTGCACCTATAAAATGGGAATAATTTGAGAACCTAGCTGGAGTTATTGGGAAAATTAAGTGAGATCATGTAACTAAAGTATATCAAACAGTGCTAGACCATAGGAGGAGTCCAGTAAATGTTAGGCATTGTTATCATTATCATTATTATCATCATTAGTATTATTGGGCTACAAGCTGAGCAACTTTTGGAGCTTACGTATTTCTTTAAATTTCTATTTTCTTTCCCAAGAAAGAAAATAGAATTATAATAATCTACATTCTTATGCATCCTCATGGTGATGTGTGCAAAGCACCTTCTGTGTGCCAGGTTCTCTAAACCATAGCCTTCATCCTGTGGAACCATGCTGCTTCTCTAATAAATGTCTCAAGGTAACCATGGAAAGAATATGGGCAGTGCATACCCTGAAATCAAAGGCCCACTGAGAAATTCTCTGGGCAGTCATAAATGGCTTAAAGCAACTACTGTTTTTCTTAAGTTACATTTTGAAAGCAAAAAAAAGAGGAAAAAATCTACTGAACTAATACAAGAAAAATCATAGTTTCCAAATCACGCTACAATTTTAAAATAACCAGTGTCTAGTAACCTGGTAACTTAGGATGGTTCTAAGATTAATAACTAGACAAGACCATCGAGTGGTCTGAACTCCAGGGTGCAAGAAGGTCTGTATAGCTCCTCCCAGCCCTTGTATGTCTCCCTGCATCTGTCCATCCACCGTTTTAGGGCTCACCCTCCCCAGGAAACTGGAAAGAAACACGAATCTTGGTAGTACTCTTTAGTTTCTGCTATGGTTTTGATATAGTCTGAATGGTGACATTTAATCACCATTGTAAGGTAGTAAGAGGGTAAAAATTTAATCCAGCTATGGCATTCAAAAGTAGAGCCTTTGGGAGGTAATTAGGATTGCAGGAAGTGATCAAGGTAAAGCCCCCTTGATAGAATCCTGGTGGCTTTATAAGAAGAGGGAGGGTTTCTTGTCTCTTGCCATGTGTCCCATGTGTGCCTTGTGCCAGCAAGAACGCCATCACCAGATGTAGCACCTTCCACCTCCAGAACTGTGAAGCTTTGGTTCTTTATAAAGTACACAGCCTTGGCTATTCCATTATAGTAACATGAAGGAAAATAATGTAGTCCCTGTGAGCCACCAATGTACAATATTGATAACTAGCATCCATACTGCTTTCATAGTCAAGTTTCCCCGTTATTTCCATGGCCTTTCTCATTTCTGTGGATATGAGCTTTGTCCAGGCAGAAACTACTTCTTTCATTAAGGAGCTATCAGGGCTTAGATTCAAAGAATGCCACATAAGGGAAATTTTATTGCAAAATAATGATAAAAAGGACATTTTGTAAACCTCACCAAATGTTCTGCTTAGATAAAACAAAATAACTAAGAAGTTTACTTACTCTCCCATCTCCTTCTGCTTCCCCAACCCTCACCCCAGATTTTAGCTGTGACTGAGTATTTAGGAAGCAGATGCTTTAGGAAGCCCGCCAGGGAAAGTTCACAAATTGGGTCCATGGAGCACATCCTCCAGGCCCCCATCAGGACTTTCTGGCTATCAGGACTTCCTGAAAGATGAGTAAAGTGGGAAATGAAACTGTTGAGGCTTCCTCTGAGCTCCCGTTGGATGTAAATGGCAGTTAAATGTTCACCAGGCAGAATCTGATTGAGCAGATCCTGCATCTTTGTCAGGCTGTGGGCGGAGGCCCAGCAGGTGGGGGCCAGTTGAGTGGTTCTGGGATTTCTTATTCCAGTCAAACAGATTACAGCTCTAACTCCCTCTGGGCCTGGCTTCTAAAAGGACCGTATTTAGGAGACCCCGGGGGACTTCACCCTCCTCCTCGAGTAACCCTATCAGGCCCTCTCCCTCTCATTCTTGAATTTTAGAATCCACTTGAAATCTCAGGTAAGGTCAAGAAAATCTTGAGGCCCAACGTTCTGGAATATAATGGTAGGTACAGCAATGGGAGCACAGGAGGGATATTTGGCAGTGACCTTGGGACCCTCTGCTCACCTCAGAGCAGGCTCGGTGGCAGGATGAGGCGCTCCTATCTGCCTGCCCCTCTGGAAGGAAGCCTAGAAGTCCTTCCTGCCCTTGTGTGGCTGAGTCAGCCCCCACCAGCCCATTACAAGGCTCTCATGGCAGAGGCCACTTGCGCCATTTGAGGAATTCATACAGCCACAAGCTGAAAAAAACCCTGGAGTTGGGTGCCCAGTGAGCACAGACGTGTTACGGGTAGGAAAATGAGGTAAACACAACAGAGCTTTTATTCCCTCTATTTGAACAGGGAGGAGACAATCCTAAAAGCTAAAATATCTTTTCCAAAAAGACAACCCCCAAAATGCTTCTTTTTAATATTTCAACAAGTCCCTTTCATTCTCCATCTAACCCCCTCCCCGCAAAAAGTGACCAAAAGAACATTGGTAGCAGTTTTTCTAATGGATTCACTGTTGAGAGGGGCTCTTCTGTATCTTGGATGCCGAGGCCTCCTCCATGGATACAGAGTCTAAACTAAGCCAAGACCCAGGAAACTCAAAGAGTTCAGGGTTACAAGGCCAGGCAGCGGCCAAGATGAGACTGAACTTCTTTCCTTGCCCCAGTTCTTCGGCATCTTGGACCCCTGGGTCTAAGAGGGAAGCAGAGTGAGTGGAGCAAGCTCCCTCAGGGTAGAAAGTCCGCGAGTCCCCTACCTGCCACAGAAGTGTTTATAAAGAACACGTAGAATTACCTGCTGAGAGCAGTCCTTGATCAGACCAACTGCAGTTAGGCTGAGGAGCCTCGCCTTGAGCAGCAGCTGTAGCCGTGGTGGGAGGCAGGACCACCATTCCCACACACATCCCATCCAGGGACAGCTGTTCTGTGGCCCCATCAGAGACACATCAGCCGTTGTTCCCTTGTAAAAGACCAAAGAATAAAAATTGTCCAAGTTGACCACAGTAGACAGCCTTGTTATGAAAGGACAAGGTGTTGTTTGCTAGCTTTTGCTTTGAAATATCCCAGGCATAGGCAGGGCCTCTTGGACTGCAGTGAGAATGCACCACAAAGAGCACCTTGTGTGGGGCTTGGGATGGGAGGTGTGTGGAGGAAGGCAGGAGGCTGGAGCAGCTCCTCCCAGCCAGCAGCAACAGTTTCTCATCCCTGGTGACCTCTGATCAAGCAGTGTGGCAAAAACCCAAAAGGTCTCAGAGGAACAGAGATGAGAGTCAGTACTGGTTCTTCAGGGCTCAGAAGCAGATCCTAAGAAGACTGAGCAGCTGTGAGAATCAAAGCACAGACACCTGCATGGAGAGCTCCCTAAGGAAGTTCAAGTGCACTGCCTGGGCTTTGTGCCTGGGGCCGGGAGAAACAGAGCCTCCTCCTAAGGCTGGCTCCAGCTCCAGTCTCACGCTTGTGCCTGGCTGTGTGAGGGCTTACACTGGTCTGGAAGCTGCTACCCCATGGCTGCCATGTGGTGAGACTTCTTGGCTTGTAGATTGTGTTTTGTTGGAAGTCCACGTAAGCAGGCCAAGGGAAGTCCCCTAGAGAAGACTCCTTCTCTGACCTCTCAGCTCCTATTGGGCTAGTTCTGCCTTCACGGAGAGACAGTTCTTCCCAGTTGGGGCCTCCAGGTGCCAGCTGTCCTCCCTGCTGCTCAGCCTCTGTGTCCTCAGTTGACCACAGGCCACCTCCACAGTCCTTGTCCCCGGGGTGGCCCACCTGAGCTTGAGCTTTCTTTGGTGGTGTCTGGTAGGCATGCCCTGTAGAAGGGCCAGGAAGCCACAGAGAAGAGTTAGCCAGCCAAGGGAGGGTGAGTCTGGCCAGTGTCTTCTCCATGGGAAGGAACAATTAGAAGAAAAGCCCTGCTTTGAGCTTGTGAGCACCAGATCTCTTCCAGAGCTGGCAGTGCAGTAAGGTGCGGGCCCACTGTCCCCACTCCTGGGTTTGCTTCCCAACTCTGCCACTCATTCAGCCTACGACCTTGTAGAAGTCACAAAAATACAGTATCTGAGCCTGTTTCCCCATCTGTAGCACATGTCTCAGAGGCTTGCCGAGAGGATTGAATGAGCTACCTGCAAGCAAAATGTAGAATAGTGCTTTGTACACACAGTACTTAGAGGGGGCTGGTGATGATTGACCTTATTGCCACGGTGTGAGCTGATTGTACGAACTGGTCTTCCCGTGACCACACCTCCAGCTCTTAAATTCTTTGTCTTTCTTTACATGGAAATAAACCCACTTCAGTTACTTATTACCAGTCCAAATTAGTCTAATTTAAAAACAGCAATGCTCCAAACATCATACGGATGCCAGCTGTGCCAGATTTCACTATTAACATTGTGGGTGTTTTCCTGATGCTTCATAAGTTAGTGGGTCAGCTTGCAGCATGAGGCAGGTGGAAGCATCATTTCCTCTTGATTGGCAGTGGGAAAACGGAGACAGGGACCAGTGACCTTCTGCCAGTGCTGCCCACACAAAGCTCAACTGCAGCCTCCCAGAAATAATAAACCCACCTGCTATGATGGGAATGCCCCCTCTAAAATTCATGTTGAAATATAATTGCCATTGTCACAGTGTTAAAAGATGAGGGGCTGAGGATTTAGCTCAGTGGTTCTGCTGCCTGCCTGCCAAGCGCAAGGTCCTAAGTTCAATCCCTGGTACAAAAAAAAAAAAACAAAAAAAAACGATGGGGAACTCAAAGAGGTGAGTAGGTCACGAGGGCTCTACACATGCTGCCACCAAGGGAGTACTCTAGTCATCTCAGGAGCCTGTTGCCACTCCACCATGTTACGATGCATAAAGACCCTCACGGTTTCAGCCCTTCAATCCTGGACTTCCCAGACCGCAGAACTATAAACCAAATAAATTTCACTGTTCATAATCTACTCAGTCTATAGTATTTGTTATGGCACCAGAAAACAGGCAAGGTCCTCCCTGAGCGCCTTGCCACCGCACCCCCACTGCCCAGGGGTCCCCTGTATGGTCACAGCTGTCTTCCTGTTAGACCCCTCCACCCAAGGCTACATGCAGTTCAGCTGTGATCGTCACTCAAAGTGCCTGGCCTTAAACCTAGAGTTCTTTGCCTCATCACCCACCTCCTCCTGTGTGTCTCTTGCAGATGGGTATGCCTTTTCCCAAGAAGAACATGGAGCTGTTACTCAGGAAGAAATAGTTCGAGCTTACGACACCACCAAAAAGAAGTCAAAGAAGAAATAAGATGCAACTTTTCCCAACTGGTCCAAGGGAGGAGATACTGTCTGTTGTATCCAGTGTTAGCACTTCTTTGTCAGAAGGGACTGGTGTCCACAGCCAGAACAACCCGAAAACACATTTCTGTGGCCTTAGCCAACCAGTTTGTTCGTTATATATTCCTTTGCAAGCCCTGAGCACAGACCGCAGGGAAAGCCATTTTTTTCCCTCCCAATTTGTCTTCAGCGCTTGGCCTAAACTTTTGTTTATGTTGTTATGAAGCATTCAGCTGTGCTCTGCGAGGTGTGAAATTAAAAACACTATGTTTCACCAATATTTAAACATCATTACTAGTTGTTCTGGGAGAAAGAGAAAGGGGTTTGACGTTGCATGAGAGATCTGTCCTGTGTAATTGGATTGGGGCACACTTACTTCCTGTTTGTTAACTCACAGATTAGTTCCAAGGGTCAGCAAGAAAACCTCACCTTAGGCAGGTTGCTTGCTTCCTTGCGTTCCTGTTTTGTTTGTATGAAGCGGCATAAACTTCTTGATTGCAGTGAAATCACAAAAATCTCTGTTTTGCTGGGGGTAAACTTGAGAACATTTCTTTGGACCTCTCAGCCACATTCCCAGGAAGGCCATTTAGCTGGTGCCCCATAGGGTCTCCTGCACCTTTCTAGGTGCCAGCTGGCTAATTGGTCCTGCCGCTATTGTCTGGGTGCCCCTCATCGTCAGTCCTTCTGTGTGTCTGGCCACTGGGCTTGGTGCATGCAGCTGGCGTGAAGCCCACCCTAAATTGCACTTTCCCTTGTTGCGCTGCAGATTCAGATATGGATGCCAGAAATCCCCTCCTCCATCACTCATTTAATTCTGTAACTAAAGAGGAGAAACATTACTATTTTACACATATCCTAGACATTTACCCCTTTCTGACCAGGGATCCTGAGGGCCAGGGTGGTGGGAGGATCCCTCTGCCCTGCTTTGGCTAGGAGTACTCATCTCTCTCCCTGATCATTGGGTCTTAGAGCCACCTCAGAACCATGCTTGTTTCCTGGGGTGCTCAGAGCACATTCTAGAATTTCACTGCTGGGAAACAAATGAATTTATAACATGCTTGCAAGTGAAAGGAGATACCTGTCACTCTCTAGCTCTAGAATCAGGAGGCGCAAACCCAGAGGGAGAGTAGAAGGCCTTGAGACTCTGAGGAAGATGACCACAGACGTCCTCAGAGGCAGTGCAGTGCGCCCAGGATTGGAGGCAGACACAGAGGACATTTCCGCCAAATCTTCCCAGTAGATAGTCTCACACGGAGGCCCGGACAGTTGAGATGATCGGCCACCTATGGACAAGACCTTGCCACACAGTTTTAGTGAAAAGAATTCCAAACATCTCAAGGAAATGCCCATTTTTAAAATACTTCTATCCTTTCCTTTATTTATCCAGTCAGCTTTGGCACAGGCTTCTCCTGAGTTCTGAGACAAGGAAGGGGAACACAGGTCACGGACTTCCCCACGTTCTGGACTGGACAGAACCCACAGGCAGGCATGGGAGAACCTGGAACCCTCAATAACTGACCCCTGGAGGTACGTCGCCTCCTCTTTGGTAACCCAACCAGATTTCTTGGTGATTTAAATACATCTGGGCAACTGTTACTGGTTAAAATGGCACAATTCCTTGAGGAATAGTGTGCTAACTTGGGAAATAAAACAATAGTGCACTCTGTTTCCTAACCCTTTGTTTTTGGAACATTCACAGCTTACTGGATGTTGAAATAACCTAGAATCCAATTTGCACTGACTTAAGCAAACTAATTCTCACTTGTGAGGTGACCAGGATGCAGAAAGGGCTGACAGAGCAGTTAACAGAGTGGCTCTGAAGGTTTTCTTCCCTTCCTCTCTAAGGCAAATAAAACATGTTTAAAAACTAGAGCACTCAGCGATTTGAATCCCTAAAGACTGCCATGCGGGGATGCGGACAGGAGATTAACACAGCAAAGCAAGGTGTAATTCTTTACTGCACGTGTAGAAAGGTAAGGGCCCATATACAGAGGAGAAAGGGAAATTAGAATTGAAAGTGCAATAGGCATCTTGACAATTTCTTTTCTTTCATCTGGGGACAAAGCTGATTTGGAAAGATTGAATGAAAACTCACTTATTCGTCAAACAGCCCTTTCTTGCACTTGAAGCCTTTCAAATCAGATTTGCGGAGGAAATGTGTTTGTGTTTAGAGGTAGTTTTTGTCTGTGTTTTTGCTTTTTATTTTATATTCTATGTTAAAGTACAGTTTGCATTTTCTGGGATTGAAGTACATTTTCCTCTTCTTTGTGAAGTAGACTAAACAATCAGCACAATAATGAGGTTTGTACACAAAAGAAAACATTTCTAGAAGGGATCCTTTCTATTTATTCTCTCATGTGATCAAGCTTTCTTATAGACCAATGACTACACTGGGTTTCTAGGCAAGGCAGCTGTCATGACGAGTGATGTATAATATTTGTCCCGGGCCAGCTAGGGGCTGTGTCATTTGTCCTATCTTGTAAATTGAGGTCAGAGTGTCACACACAACCCCTCCCCAGGGAGCAGAGTGGACTGGACTGGGTTGCATATCTGGTTGTCAGCTCAGTGGAAATGTCACATGGGACTTATCGTACTCCCACACAGTAAGTGACTCCCAGGCCAGAAGGTCAGACTCAGTCAGCACTTCAGTGCCTGCCGGTAGGCTGGACTGAGTTAGAAGAACCCACCCAGGCAAACCTTTAAGCTGTATGCAGACAGCTGGCTCCTGTTTGAGGCTGTCCTGTTCTGGCTGACTGCAAACAGGCAAGACAGGTCATTCTCTGAGCTTAGTTCTGAGCCCTGCCACGCTGACACCCATTCCCATCGGTGGCTATAGAAAACACATGGTGGAGGGAGAAAGGGACCGGGAGAAGCTACTTGTTTCTGCCCAGAAGTCTGTATAAACACGACTTGCTGCTCAGAGTGGGCTTTGTAATAATTTGGAGAGTGTAGCTGATGTGTCTGTCCTGTCTCAATGCAGAATATTCCAGGTTTCTTGACCAGCATTATTTTCTCTCATCTCCCAATGCATATGTATACACACAAAAACAAAAATGTGACTTACTTGAACCGGGGTACCACACAAAATCCAAGTTTTGGAGAAAAGGGATGGCATTTCTTTAACTTTGTAGAGAAATATCTTTAAAAAGTGTACTAGGATTCAGCAGAGCTTGGCTGAGAACTCTGTTGATAATTTCTCTTCCGCAACAAGGCTTCGGGTTTGCTATAGGGAGCTGGAAGCAAAAATCAGCCATAACTCATCAAGAAGTAGTGAATGATGAAAAGAAAAGCGAGTCTAGGCAGCTAATGTCTGAAAATGCATATGACCATTTAGAATACAGGCTTCAAGTTTGAATATTTAAAAAAATTATAGCCTATAATCTGTTTGTTATAAAAATGACCTCCCCACTTTTTTAGCCATAAGAGAATTTTCTATCAGATATTCCTGTTCCTAAGGATGCATGTCTTAAACTGTAAGTTGAATATAATGTATGCAAAATTCTGCTGTAAGATAAGGTATTCTTTAGTTTTGAACCTGTGAAAGGACTACACCCATTTCAGTCAGGGTTTGGATTACTGCCCAGGGTCATCGTCGCAAAGTAACTCAAGGAGTGATTTAGCTTCAGCATTTGAAATGTAGCCTTCATCTCCTGGGATCCATAAAAAAAAAAAAAATGTGCACAAGGAAGCTGGCTAAGCAGAGCCTAAAATAATAACTTGGCAAAGAAATGAGTTTATCAGGTGAAGTCAAAACATGGCATTCCCTGTTACACTCATTACTTTCTTCAAGCAAATGCTTAAATGAGCAAACAGAAGAATAAAGGAGATATTTAAAGGGCCCTCCTTTCAAAAAAAAATACGTCGGTCAGTTTTGTTGATGTTTTTTTTTTTTTTTTTTGGTACCGGGGATCGAACTCAGGTCCTTGCACTTGCGAGGCAGGCGGTGGAACCACTGAGCTAAATCCCCGACCCAGTTGATGGTTCTTCATTGGCTCTAGGCAGTTAGTTATCTGTCTCAGGATAGCCTAGGGGGACATTATTAACTCATATGAGCAATTTCTCCACTTGGAAGGGCAAGGAAGACGGAAGTGGTCCTAGAACTGAGCCCTAAAGACCCCATAGTGACACTATTCAGTATTCTTAAAAGGAATGGACTAGCGACACTCAACTTGGTGTATGTCCTTCATTTGTTCACTTTTTCTCAGCATCCCAAACTGTCCAACAGTCCACCTTTCCATGCCCACCCCCCTCTCCCAATGAGTATGAATGATTTCTTCAGTGGAAGAAAAAGGGTATGAAATCAACATGAATCTAAGCTGTCAGAAGCTACAAACACATGAGAGACAAGAAGGGCGTGCTCACCCATTACCTCATCCCAAGTATGATCCTCCATTGTCAACCTAGGACAAACACCTCCACACTGCCGAGAGAGAGAAGACGAAAGGGTGATTCTTTTTACACCCAGGCTGGCTTATTCTCCAATGACAGTCTCTCTCTCTAGCAGCCTCCAGATACGGTACCTACTCTACGTTTTCTCCCAGACATCGGACCAAGAAAAACATGCTCAAAAGATTAGCCCACAGGCCTTTCTTCTGACCTAGCTAAAGAAAGAAAAGGGAATTGTTTGTTTTAACAGAAACAAAATGTCAGGTGGTTATGATTTATGGAAGAAATAAGAAGAAGAAAGATGAAATAATAGCACTATCCAAATAACCCTGCCCAGGAAACTTAGGGATCAAGAGAGCTTATCAAGACCCAAGTACAGGTAACCTCCTCCATGCAGAAGGAAAAAGCCCGGAAGACAGAGAGACAAAGAGCAGATTGTCAGCCTACTTGCCAAGCAAATGGATACAGTAGTGTTCCTAGAAATAACTGGGTGTACAGTTGCAGGTGAATCAGTAAACAACAAATAACAGAAAAAGAAAACCTGTCCCGTTGTAAGAGTCTCCTTCCAACAAGATCCCTGCACCATACCTTATAAATATGTGTAATTGTTATGTTTTTTTAAAAAAGAGCCCCATTGGGTGGGGTGAGGGGGCTCTTGCTGGAAATGTGAAAACCCCTGGGTTTGATCCCCAGTACCACACACACACACACACACACACACACATATACACACACACCAGTACTCATTTGGCTCATTTGGTTTCTCACTAAAACATAAATATAAAGTCGAAAACTGCTCCCTCTGCTCTCCTATTCCCTCTCCTGTTCCCTCTCCCGTGTTGCCAGTGATGGCCAAGTCTAGAGACAGGCCAGGCTGTTTCCGTGCGGGCCTCATTCTCCAGGGAAATCCAGGCAGCTACAGCAGGGCTGCCAGCTGCAGGGTGAGCCCATCGTTCTTGCATGCCTGCACATCATTACATTGCTGTGTTTGAATGGAGCGTCTTTGTGGTGTCTTTCTCATGCAAGGAGAGCCATGTGCTCTCCTATCCACTGTCACATCTGTGCTAGAATTGCCTAAATATTGTTTGGGATGGGGAGGTTTCAATCTGGTTATGCAGAGGGAACAGGCTGCAGGGGCATGGTTAATTGGCTCCCAGCAGAGCAGTGAGCACTTCCAAGGCTGGTGGGGTTTTTTGTTCCCTCCCTCTAGAAGTGTAACCATTTTCCCGACCTATTAATGTCCTCTGGTTGTTAACTTAGAGCAGCACATAGAAGTGGAGCTACGTTCCCTCCTGCAGTGAATACAAATGAAGGACATCTCCTTGTATGTTTAAAGGTGTTTGGAGAATTTAGTGATTTGTGGCTTTGATCAATCCTGTCAACTGGTATATGTCTGCACAAACCTGTTTCAAATAAATCTTTTATTAAGGTAAATGATTGGACTGTGTTTTACTTTGGAATTTCCTTTTCCACCTAATAAGCAGTTACTGCCGTAGGGACTTGGGACTGTCACACAGGGTTTTGTCAGCAGGTATAGAGCTCCAGAGCTGAGGGCCGGGTAGCACTGGGCACTGGCAGGGGTCCGATTTGCTGGTGAACTGGAGCTCTGCGCTCCTGTGCCAGGACTGTCCATGAGGAGAGGGTCTAGGAGGTCACACCGAGTTTGGCTATGCCCAGTCAAAGGAAAGAATTGTGTGCAGACTCTTCCCTCGGTCACTTCCCTCATCCTGGTGCAAGTCAGTATCTGTGTGGACCAAGATGGGGCAGTACAGACTCCTTCACCAGGCATGAAAGCATGACATGAAGCAGTTATTTTACCCTCTTTCTTCAGTGCTAGTTATTGCACCTAGGGCTTCGCGTGGAGTAGGCAAGTGACACCCCAGCCTTAAATTATTAAAGAAAGAAAGGCTATCTCTGTCCACTTTCTGTATTTCTGTATGTCTATAAATACAGATCGAGCATCCCTAATGCAAAAATCCAAACTGTTCCAAAATCCAGAACTTTTTCAGTACCAACATGATGCCACAAGTGGAAAATCCCACACTGTGAAACTATATTTCATGCATGAAGTTAGTAAAATATTGTATAAAACTATCCTTAGGAATAAGTATAAATGCATTTGGTATTTAGACTTGGGTCCCATCACCAGGTAACTCATTATGTACAAAGTTCTCAAATCTGAAAAGATCTGAAATGTGATATATTTCTGGTCCCAAGCATTTCAGGTAAGGGATATTCAACCTATATTACCAAAGGAGTCAAATCCATTCACCTATCAAAGCTATGAGCATCAAATACATATAGTCCAAGCCAGGTGTGGCAGTGTATGTCTATAATCTCAGCACTCTGGGAGGCTGAGCCAGGAAGATGCCAAGTTTGAGCCCACCCTGGGCAGCTTGGCAAATTAGGAAGACTCTGCCTCAAAACTAAATTTTAAAAGATGTGGGGCGGGGGGGGTTGCTGGGGATACAGATCAGTGTGAAGTCCTTAGGTTCAATCCCCAAGACCAAAAACAAAAGCAAAGCACATCTAGTCCAGCTCACAAACATTAGGCTTTCATATATTAAAAGTAGGCTACATGTCCAAAGACACTTTTTAATATTCTTGAAGATTGGCCTCAATACTTTGTCTTCAGCCACAATTAACTGCACTTGAGATTCCCAAGTGATAAGGTATGCTTTTGTTTGTTTGTCTTGTGTTTTGTTTTTGTGCTACTGAGAATTGGACCCACAGCCTTTGCATTGAATTACACCCCCAGTGGTTTTGTATGTTTTATTTTTTGAGACAGGTTAGCCCTATGTTGCCCAAGCTGGGCTCAAGCTTGCCATCCTCCTGCCTCAGCCTCCCAGAGTGCTGGGATTATAGACATAAGCCACCATACCTGGCTTCAGAGTGATAGATATTTAAAGGCAGGGTGCATAGGCTATGCTCAGAGCCACAGCCTTGACCTGAGCCTTGAATTGGAATGTTCTGTCCAGGTAATTTCTAGATCATTGTTATTAGTGCTACTTACAAAATGTAGTGCTGCTAGTATTTCTCCAACACACACTCCAAAAAACAAATGCTTTCTGATTTGAAATTCTAAATTAATTGTAGACAAAAGCTTCCTGGGTTTTCCTCAATTTTCCCAACAGTTGGTGTGCATACATTAAACTCTGTGTGATTAAAAGCTTTTCTGCTGGGGGAGGTGGTGTAGCTCAGGGGTGGAACCTGCCGTGCAACAGACCCTTGGAGATCCCAGCACTGCAAAGAATAAAAACGCTTCTGCTGACATAACCCATCTGCTGACCCAACCCTCTGAGAGTTGGCCCCAGTACTTTCTAAATGCCCCTGAATTGAGGGAGTGACCAGTACGCCCATCTTGAAAACTTTGGTAATCAAAGAAAGGCCTGTGACCTGGCCTATACAATGCCCACTGATACTCGATGCTATGTTTACATAAGTGCAGTATTGCTTTAGCCTAGGGGACCCTTCTTTTGAAATTCTTAATATTCTAATTCCCAAATATTTTTCTATCCCCACAAATATTAGTGGTGAGTATACTGTATGCAGGCAGGTACTAGAGGCCAAGGAGTCATTTAGGCATGGCAAAGTCTTGATTTCTACCATCAAAGACTATACTATCTAATGGGGACATATACAGAAGTAGATATGCTATCAAGCCCATTGGTGTAAGGACATGAGCTAGTGCTATGGGAATGAGAATAAAGAGGAATAATGTCAAGTACACATGAAAGAACCGGAGGCAAGGCTGACTGCCATCGATGCTGCTTCTCATTCCGGTACTCTGAGGGTTGGTGGATAACAACATGGAAACCAAGTCTGTGAGTCGGCTTTCTGTCACTGGAACAAAGAGCTGAGGCAATCAACTTATAGAGAGGAAATGTCTGCTTTGGTATGCAGTTTCAGAGACTTCAGTCTATGTAGTAAGTCTGGTTGCTTTTGGGACTATGACAAAGCCATACATCATGGCGGGGAGCACATGGCAAAGCCAACCATTCCACCTCATAACCTCATGCCAGAGCACAAGAAACAGGAAGAGGAAGGGCTGGGGACCCAATATGCCTTTGGAGGGCACGTCCTCAGTAACCTATCACCCTTCCACTAGGCCCTAGCTCTTAAAGTTTCTACCACCTCGGAACAGCACCAAGCATCTCTTGCTGTTTCAGTTCAAAAACTTATTTAACCAACTGTTTTGAGAGAGGCTTGCAGTTTTGTCATGGGCTCAAAGGATTCTCCTGCCTCAGTCTCCAAAATAGCTGAGACTATAGAACATGTCAACACACATGGTTCAAACCAATTTCTTATACAGAAATGGGGGTGATGACGGCCATGTCTACTCGGGTAAATATACCTACTTCCTATGACAACAGTTCCCTTCCTGAAATCCCATTTGAGAGAACTGAGCACTTACACTCACCAGGAGGCAGGTTAAAAAATGTTCCTGACAGCACAAAACTGAGAAGAACCCACATGCCCACAAACAGTATAGCAGATAATCAGTATGTCTCTTATAATGGGATGCTACACATTAATGAAAAGAACAAGCTACTATCCACCCCACAATAGCCATAATGTGGCGTGAAAGCCAGATGAGAGTCCACACTGTGTAAAGACACTGTGTGAAGTTCAAAGCCAGGGGAACAAATCTATGCCAGTGGAGCACTTACCTTCCAAGGGAGCTTTCAACTGGAGTTTTCCTATCTCTTGATCGGAGTGATGTTTTCTCAAGCTAAACATTATGTATAGTTGTAATGAATTGAGTAGAAAAATAAAATGATTCAGTGTACGTCAAAAAGTAAAATTAAAATTACCTGATAAGGTATAAAGTATGGTCAAAATATATGAATGTTGAATTTTTAGAAACTTTATTACGGTGAAATACTCTCCTTCACTTCAGACTCTTATCCTATCGCTTCTGTCACTTTCGGAACCAGCTCTGAAAGTCCTTTTTTGTCTCTTTACGAAGTATCATCAAAAGTAGACTGATGCTTCCGCCAAGTCCCACCCAGTGGGAAGGTAGGCTCATAAACACACCATTCTGTCTTCTCATCAATTTCACTTGATTGCGATGCTCTGGTGCCGCGTCACTCCCGGCAGGTGGCGAGGACTGAGGAAAGGTCTTCTTCCGTGTGTGCGTACTGCATTCCTCCTTGTAAAATGTGGGCTTCTCCATGTAAACCTAAAAGATGCTCCGGAAGTTGAGCCCAAAATTAGGCGTCCCTGTGGCCAGGCCCAGCCAGTACTCAGGTCTCCCTGTCCCTTCTCCCATATGCCCCAGGAAGTGGCACACTGGTATGTTTTTAATGCCAATGCCACCATCCGCTCTATGCCTTGAGACTCCTCTGCTCAAGACAAGAACCCTGTGACATCATGCAGCTTCCTCCCAGGCTTTGAGCACTCTCTTACTCAAAAAGAAAGAGAAATAAGCACCACGGGGAAGTGACCATGTTTCCTCAAATTCTAGAAGTTTCACTGAGCCATTGCTGCCAAGACGTTTTTTACTTAGCAGCAATTCAGTTGAGTCCTGTGGGCTGCCAGGAGCCCAGGATACTTGTATTCTGCTCAGTTTTTCTGGCTGCCATCGTCACCCTTTGTTCTCAGATTCTCACATGCTCTCCCATGCACAGACCACAGACATCTGCCCTGGAGATGGCAGTAAGACACATTTTGCACATTTTAATGACACCATTCTGAGAACCTCTTATTCCAAATTCTTTCCCATCTTATCCTTGACTACCATAATCAGACTTTCTCTGAGTTCAGTCCATTTGTGACCATCTACCCTGGCTGTCATCATGAATCAAGTTCTAACTTTCCTGGTTCTACCACTAAGCTACACTCCCAGACTGATACTGCTATACTTTAACTTCTTCCTGCAACGGCAGAACTTGTGGAAATGGGTAATTTCCACTCTTCAGTAAGCACAAAGAGCTAGTTAGTTTCTTCTTCCTTGCAATGAAAGGCCTAATTTTCTCTCCTAAAAATAGAGACTACCCGAGAACCACCATGAACCAACACAGTTTAAATACTGCAGAAAATGTACAACAGCAAACTACTTTTTTATCTGTAAATGCTGTTTTTTCAATACACTGTAAAATATTTCTACTGAGTGCTAATTACACATTATAGGATCAGTTTTTTGTATTTTATGAGAAGGAAAGTGTACTTAAACCAGGTATTTGACCTTCTATTTTACCAGATTTCTCCAGTTCTTATCAAAACACAAAAGTTTATCAGTTGTTTGTAATGATGTTATATGTTTGGAAAAACCAAACAGTATTCAACGTGGTAAATTTCATTTTATTAAAATGCACTTTTACTTTAATTGTGGCACTTTTAATTACCATGTAGCAAAAGGAGGAAAAAGTAGATATTTTCAAGCAAGAGAAGCAAGCACTCCCTGTTTTGCAAAGGCTGCCAAGAACAGCACAGAAGTGACACCTGCATGGGAAGGAGCTGGCACAGATGAGGGCCTGGCCACTGAGAGCCCACAGGCCAAGTCCACCTCACTGCTTGGTTCTGTACAGACCTAGAGCTTCCGGTGGGTTTTACCTTTTGAAATGGTTGGGGGAAAGTTTGGGGGGTTTGGGAAGGGGGGGTTGGTACTGGGGATCAAACTCAGGACCTTGCACTTGTGAGGTAGGTGACGGCACCACTGAGCTAAATCCCTGGCCCAAAGTTTAAAAAATAATACTTTGTGACATAGGAAAATTTTGTGAAATTCAAATTTCAGTGTTATTGGAACGTAGGCATCCCCCATTGTTTATGGATCATCGAGCTGCTTCTGTGCTACCTGTGTAGCTGAATAGTTGCTAAAAGCCCAACATTTACTCTCTGAGGCTTTACTGAAAAAGACTGCCAAGCCCTGGGATACATGATTTCTAAGGTCCCTTTCAATTCAAAGGTGCTAGGAATTTGACTTCCTTGGGTAAGTAGGACTCCTCCATTGAAACCGTATAGAGAATACATTAGCTTGATGATATCATGATAGCAAAAGAACTGTCTCTTTTGTGTTGTCCACATTTTCCACAGAATAAAAAATAATACTCATTGGCTCAGAGAACACATATTTAAACTTCCTAGACCGCTTTCTGCAGTGCTCTTGGCCCTAGAGTGCAGTATTTATGATTTTTAATAATTGTGTTCTATCAATAGATCTACTTGACCATCTGAAAAAATTAACAAATACATCAGAATTTTTTAAAAACCCACTCCCCTAGGAATTCATACCGTAAAATATTTATTAAAAAGTAAAATGATTTTCTCCTACCTTTGGTTATTAAAAATTTTTGATTATCTTCATTGATACCATTTTCCAACAATGGTTTAATATTATTCAGTCATGAGACAGATGATAGATGATAGAAGAACAGGTGACAGACATAGATATAAATGTGTGAAAGACCATATCTTACAACAATTTGTTTTAATTATAAATCTTGCTTTTGCTAGCAATTAGAAATTTACTTGCACACACTTAAACATTTTCTGTAATGCACAAATAAATTCACTTGAATTTGGTAATCCAGAGCATTGGTAATGAATACAGAGCTTGTTGAGGTCAGAAAGAAAAAAAATGAGCTATTGGAAAGGAAAGCCAATATCCCTTTGAAATACTTTTCTCTTGACTTAATAGTCACTACTGCCTGAAAAATGAGTCATTTTGATAATGAGAGTATTAAAAAAACATAATTTACAAAGTAATTCATGCCTGAGGTTTAAATTTCACCCCGTGTCTCAGTTTACGGCTGAGGAGCTATACTAAGTATCTTTATAACACATTTCTTTGAACTTTTATACTTAAAACAAGTGTCTTATCAGATCTAGGTAGAAATACTTTTCTTCATTTATAACTACAGTAATTAACTGCCCTTGGCACTATAATGGACAAGGGATCTGAAAACCAAACAGAACAAAATGCCAAGTCATATCACATGGCAAAATTATTGGTAACTCAGAGAAGTAGCAGGTGATAGTTTATGATTTCATTGTAAAAAATCTGATTACTTCTCAGATGTCACTGTAAAGCCAGAATATTACAATACCATCAAGTTTGATTACTATACCACCCACTACTTCAAGATTAAAATAATGCCAGAGTCCTGAAATGTCCACCTTCACTAACTGTATAATTTCTTTCAGTCTCTTTTAATGTAGAAAATCATTTTGTAATAAGATCTCTACACAAGGTTAAAAAAAAGCACAAAATAGGCCCCCCAAAAGCACAAAAATAGACTATATATATATCTTTTTACAGCAAAACTAAGATGTGCCTGTGGAATACTGAGATTCATGCCTAATCTCACAGAGTTCGAACAGGTTTCTTTTTATAATTGTATTATTTACATCTTCCCTTCAACCTTATTGTGCTAATTTTAAAAAAGAAAAAGTGGCCCAGGAAAAAGGGAGTTAACAGGTATTTCCACTCTTGTATAATTAAAAACAAAAAAATAATAATGATATAATAAAATCCCTTAATCTATCAGTTTAAAAAATTCTGACAACCACAACGCAAGGGCGCTTAAGGGCTCAAGCAGCTGCCACCTACTCAATAACAATACAGGCAGCAACTCCTGTGGATATTGTTTTGCATCATGAATCAGTGATACACTGAATGAAACATACCCAGAAATGCTAATTCAGAGATGTTTTCACACAGTTTAGGGGCAAATGAAGTTATACAAAAGAATCGTGCCATGAATACCACCAACAGGTGGGAAATTCCACCTCAGAAATCCAGCCCAGTTCTCTCCAGTCTCGTGAAGGAAGCAGCAGGTGGCCTGTGAGCTATACCGTCACTGCAGGATACATCTTCTGATCACTGTTGGTGTGTGGGAAGGAGCCCTGGATCTGTCTGTAGCCAGGCTGCAGGCCGTCCATGAAAGGGGGCACTGGTGTCATGGGCACAGAGTCGTGCTGTACTGTGTATCCTACGTAAGGTGGATGCAGGTACTGCCCTTGATGAGGCACAATCTGGGTGGCCTGCTGACAGTTCAGCACGGAGAAATTTGTGGGCATGTTGACATACACGTTGTTCATGGTTCCCTCGGGCAAACAACAGTTGGTCTGTGATCTTGTTGGGGGTGCCCGGGCTCCCGAGTTGGCACTGGAGCTGGAACTGGCAGCCGTGCTGGACTGGCGGGAAGATGAGCCCCTGGAGGTGCTGGCACTGGGGATCATGGGGATGGTCTCCATCAAGCGGTTCCCTCCCGGGGCTCGGCTCTGCTGGGGCTCCTGCTTCGGCCGGAGGCATCTGCAACAACAGGCCGCCACGAGGGATCCCAAGATGATAAAGGCAACAAACACGGAGCCAACGATGAGGAATGGCACGTAGATGGGGACTGGAGAGAAGGCCAGAAACACGTTATGATTTACTCTAAGAATGCAGGAATAAAAAAACAAACAGTGACTGGCAGTGCTAATGGGTAAAGGAGAGCACTGAGACCCAGAATCACAGGATTAGGCTGGGCTGGCTGTTCATGTTAACAATGCCTAACTTGACCAGGGATTTAGCTCAGTGGTGCTGCCACCTGCCTCTCAAGCACAAGGTCCCAAGTTCAATCGCTGGTACAAAGAAAAAAAAAGCCTTTAACAATGCCTAACTTGAGCTAGGCTTTATTGATTGCTTGGGAAAGGGTCAAGACCCTATAGGTGTGGCAGGTCAGCCCAAGGAAGCCAAACTGCTAATATTTACCATTACATTCACCTACTGCAATGTCAGAGGCAAATATAAGAGTTTTGGCAAAATATGGGGTTATTGTGTTAAAACTGGTATGGTTCTAAACCTTCCTACAATAATTGAACTGCCCTAGCAGATAGTTACAGGATCTGCAGAGTAACAGGGAATTTAAGTTGCTTAGATTTTTTTTTCAGTAAGTCTTTTACATTCCTTGAAAATTTCTCTCTTCTCATTTATAAGCAAGTTCTTTTTTAATGGGCAGATAAATCAATAATTTAACTGAGACTCTGAGATGCCATAATTTTCTAAAAGGGTATAAGGCATAGGAGATCAAGGAAGGGGAAAAAAATTTAAAAACCTCCACAAATCTAAAAAGTTGGTATAGAATTTGAGAGTAGAATAATGGTTTTCAGAGCCTGGGAGTAGCAGGGAAGTAGACATAGGAAGTCACTGGGTATAAAGTTACAACTAGCTAGGAGCAATAAGTTCTGGTGTCCAACGGCTCAGTAAGGTGAGTACAGTTAAGAATATACTCACTTTAAAGAAATGATACAATTTTAAGGTAATAGATATGCTAATTACCCTGCATTGATCATTACCCAATTGATATATTCATCAAACCATCACATCATCATCTGTAAATATGTGTAATTACTGTGTATCTGTCAAAAAATAAATGCACAAGCAAAAACTCAGTGATGGGAAGGTATATTGAGAACAAGTGTCAGGAGTGACAGGATACTTGTTCCGTGGAGTGGCCTGCAAGAACCAAGAGGGCATGTAGGGAAGATCTGGGTGACTGGCAGTGAGGGTATGCCCGAAGTTTTGTGAACAGAACTACACAGGGAAGTCTGCAGTGTAGAAAGCCATGATCATCATATTGAGCAAGCAGGGTTTGTTCTGAAAAATAAAACCATAAAATGCAAATATAAAAACCTTATAGGAACACCAGTAGTGAACTCCATTTTTAAATTATTTTCTTAAAAGGCTCTGGGAGCCACTGGGATGTTACTACAAAGCTTTAGAATACAGACATGGGCCTTTGGGGTAGAGGTAAGCAAGGGGAGCCTGCAGAAAGCCTGAGTCACTGTTATGAAATTCCACCACATGTTAAAAACCTGTCCTGCGTTTTGGTGTGTTCTGTATTTCCCTGATTTTTTTCTTGGTATTAAAGATTGAACGCAAGCTTTGGGCATGCTAAGCAAGCACACAACCACTAAGCTCCAGCCAGCCCTCCCTGACTATTTGATTGGCAAATACATGAGGATAGGACTCACTGGTCCTGCTGGCACAGTGGCAGCACACAGTCAGATGGGATAGCCTTTTAGGAAGGAGCCCATCCGACCCTTTGAGATTAGAGTTGCAGATACTGACTGTCCTGTAGAGCCATGTGCTTTCTTAATTATGGTCCTTTGACTGTGTCCCTGGAGTGCAGATTTTTAGAATCCCAGAGAAATGATGCCTTGTAAGTGAACCGTTCTTTAGAGGTATATACTTAACCAAAGGTTGGCAGCAGAAGACCATCCTGAGCTTTGCTGCTGAACACAGCCAGTTCTCTCTCTCTCTATATATATAGTGCCCTGTTGGCAGGTAGAACCTGCTGCAGTCCACAGAACTGCTGGCCCCGCACCATCCTTATTCTAATTATCCTATTTCTACAGGCTAACTAGGGCAGACTGGAGCCATGGGTGCGTGCTTTTTTCCTACACATGCTATAAATAGTTCAATCTCTAAATTCAGATATCAGCCCCAGATTTGTAATTAAGAGGTAAACAAACGATAGTAAGAAAAAAATGTTTTATCCCTAACACTACAGCAAAAACTAGCTGACAGCAGTCTCAGTCTGCATAATGAGTACAGGGAAGAAATTACTGTTCTCTTTCCAGGATTTTTAATTGGAAGTGTAAATAACTACACAGGGGTAAAGAATGCTGTGCAACTATAAGCCCCACCCCCAGCCCACAGGCTTAATTAGGCATGTTGTCCTTCACTGTAGAAGCCATCTGAAAGGATTTTTTTAAGGGAAAAGATTTAAATGCAGAATGAAGATGGCACCCACAAACAACACAAGCGTCATAAGTGTGCTGCCTACTGATTTGTCCAAAGCCATCCCAACTTTTTAGAGATCGTTAATGAGCCCAACTTAACAGACACCTTAATGTAGCAGTTTGGGCTCTGGTTGATTTTTTCAGGCTTTATTCAGAGCCCACACACTCTGCAAGGCTGAGTGTGCATTTTAAGATGGCACCTTTACTAAAATTCCAGAGTTCTCTTCTCCCAGATTCAAAGCAGCCCGGGACAATGGGAATAGCATGTTAATAAAACGCTTGACTGCAAAGAAAATAGCACTGGAAAGTGCTGACTCTTACCAGGCCCCAGAGACAGTTCTATAAACACAGAAACCACAAGATGCCTGCACTCAAACAGCTCCAAGCCTGGGCTCAAGGTGCTGGTAAAAAGTTATCTACTTAACTAACAGTGGCACAGAAAAGAGGAGAAGCCCCCTCTGGGACAGGCTTGTCTTTTTTCTCTACCTCTCCCACTCCCGTGCACACACACACACACACACACACACACACACACACACACACACACGGTGTAGACTTTCCAGTGGATGCAGTCTGGGAAGGCTTTGAAGAGTGGAGGAAGTACAACCTAGCAATTGTTCTTCACAAGTTTATTTTTCAACTGTAGCTTGCACACTTTAAAAAATATGCAATAAAAAAAATCAAAGCCACAAAGAGAAAGGTTGGGCACAGCTCCGATGTCACACTTATTAAGTCTAACCTGGTGAGAGGCAGCCCACGTGGCCAGGAGGGGTTGAATCTCTAGGGGCTTGGTAAAGTCCATTACCGGAAAGCCCCTCAGGAGCTGCCTGCCTTCTGATGAACGTTCAAGGAAGTGTCCGTGTCAGGCTGTCTCAGAACTGGGCGCTAGCCATGTCTTTGGGTATCCTCAAGAAGTTAAGTGGAGGCATGGGACATAGCAGGGGCACAGGGTGCTAAACAGAAAGAATCTGGGAGCTGTCTGTGGCCCACACTGCCTTAGGTGTGTGATTTTTCTTTGGAAAATCCAAGCCATGCCACCCTTTAGCTGTCAGATGGGGAAACTGAGGCCCTGGTTGGCGAACTGGTACGCCACTTCGCACAAATTGGTGGGTGAGAAAGAACACAGGTTCCGCCTCCTGGCTGGAGGCCCTTTCCTGCCCCGCCCAGTCTCCCAGGTCCGTGCAGCCCAAACAAAGCCAACGTCCTCCCCTTTCGCGCTGCGTCCGGGGCCGCCCTACCTGCCGAGCCATCAGGGCCGTCTTTGTCCGCCCGGCCAGGCTCGCTCGCGCCCTGCTGGTGGTCGTTGTCGCAGCCGCCTTGGTCCAGGCGCGCCTCGGCGCTGGAGCAGCAGTAGCGCAACGCGCAGCTGCCGCAGCAGATGGTGGCGTCGCCGCCGTCGAAGCGCTCCGGGCACTGGAAGCCGATGCGCCAGACGCCCTGCGCGTCAAGCCAGCCGTGGCAGTACTCGCCGCTGGCCCGTGCCCCCGCCGCCAGCACGGCAGCTAGCAGCAGCGGCAGGAGCAAAGCGGCGGCGCGGGCAGAGGCGGGGGGCGCGCGGTGTGCGCCCCACATGGCACCACGCTGGGCTCGGGCGAGGCGTCTCCAGAAGACGCAGAGTGGTCTGGGCGACCCAGGGGCCTCTTCGATGACTGTCCTTTGCGCGGCGCTTTCCCCACGGGACACTCCCTTCTGCCAAGGCAGAGCCGCGGACGCCCGGCAGCAGGGTCCGGGGCTCCTAAGTCATCCCCTTCCTCTGCCTGGTGGCTCCGTCCCCGGTAGAGGGTGCCTTGGCAGAGCAGTCTCGGACAGACCTCTCTCGGAACGCAAGGTCAAAGGGCGTCTCGGGCTGCGGTCCCGCAAGCCCTGGAGTCTTCACCCGCGCTGGGACCCGGCCCGCGCATCCCCGAGGGGACGCTCGCTAGAGCCAATGACCACTGGTCGGACCGCTGCCGATAGCTGCAGGAGGGGTTCGGCCTCCGGGTCCCGCGCGCGTGGGGCGGTCTCCCCTCCTTTATTCTGCTCTCCAACGGCGAGAAGCAGCGCGGCAGGCGGGCAGAGCGCGCAGGACTCCCGGCAGCAAGTGCAGCGGGCAGCCGAGCTCAAGCGCTGGGGCTCCCAGCTGGGTCCCCATGGCTCCCGCCGCGCTCACGGGCGGCCCTTGGGGTGCAGCGGCCAAGTTCCGCTCCGCGGGGCCGGCAGTCACTCCTCCAGCGCACGCCGCCCGGGGAGGTCCAGGGCGCAGGCGAGGGTCCCAGGAGCCCGCCGGGCTAGCAGCGGCCGCGATCGCTGCTGGGCGCGGGTCTAGGAGGGCAGCCCGGGTCCCTGGCTGCAGGCGGTCCCACCGTCCCCTCTCTCCGTTGCTGGTGCGCCCTCGGGAGGTGCACACCACTGGGAGCCTCCCACGTAAGTTTCAGTCCTCAGGGCTACGGGCGGCAACCGCCCTCACTCTCGCCTCACCGGGTGCCGGACCAGCTCGGACTCCGCCCGCTCGGCGCGGCCGCTGCGCTCTTAAAACCGGCGCCCCGGCGCGCATGCGTGCTGCGACGCCTCGCCTCCACCGGTACTCCCCGGGGCGCCCTGCAGCCCTGCTTTCCAGTACACCGGGAGGTGTGGCCTGGGCAGGCAGCCGCCGGCGCGGAGAGGCGCTGGCGGAAACATTTAACCAATCCAGGCCTTACCAGCACAATAACAGTCATGGTAACAGATGCAAACTAAACTAGGTTTGGTTCTCGAAACTTCCCAAAGGGTTATAATGGATTTCCATTTCACAGAGGAAGTCTCTAGCTCCCAGCCACTGGAGTCCTGGCCGCCGTGGGTCCCAGACCAGGAGAGGAAGAACTCAGAGGCTGGGGCAGCGCTTGCCACACCTGCGCTGGTGGGCTGAAGCTTTGGCCACATGGCCGGATGGGGCGAGGTCAGTAGGGCATCCCGAATTTCACCACTGTCTGACTGATTGGTGTCACTTGAGCTTTTCTTGTAGTTGGGTGGGGCGATTTGTCGGATTCTAGCAGTGTGATGCCTCCTCCAACATTTAGCCTCCGTGGCTTTGCCGCGGTCAGAACCATACTGATATTCATACACTTCAGCAGTTCAGCTTTGGTGAAGGAGAAATTAATAGCTGCTCTCTTGTGGAAGCTGAAAGAACAGGTGCTCGTGCTATTAAAGCAGCAGCGATTATTTTTAAAGGAGCTAGTGCCTCTTCCCACGGGACCAGAGGCAGTGGATCCGAATTCTAAGCCCAGCCCTACCAGAAAGAATCACTCCATGTTGCTGTTGCTGATCTATTTCTTCATCTAAAAAGTGGAGCATAGGACATTGATGAGTACTAAGGTCCCTTCCAACTCCACAACCATAGAGCCCAAAGCAGTGTTACGCACAGCAAAGAAACTCTGGCTCAGAGTTAGTGTCTAGTGTTTACAAATCCAAAAGTTTTGAATATATTTCTTTCCCCAGTGCAATTGCCTAAGTACTACAGTTACCTTTGAGAAAGAAAAAAGAAAAGATTCAGAGTATACAGAGTATGCTCTGGTAGTTTTGGATCCCAGGATACAGAACTTTCATTCAATAGCTGTGGGTCTACTCTTAGAATATAGTAAGATCAGGACTCTCTATTTTTTCTTATAGTAATTCAAGCCAGTCCTCTGTTTACCATCAGGAGCTGGGGATGGTGGCAGCTGGCATCCCAGTATTCTGGGGCAGGGGAGGGGGAGCTCAGGCAAGAGCACCGAAAATGCGACCCCAGTCTGAACAAGTTAGTGAGACCCTGTCTCAGTAAAGGGGGGGGGGCGTGGCTCAATGAAAAGGTCCTGGGTTCAATCTCTAGTACAAAAAAAATGATCCCCCCCAAAAACTACACAACACCCACACACAAACACATACACACACAGTGAGTACTTAGTGGGAAGTCTCCAGCATTATTCTTCCACTTGTCCTCAGCAAAATCAAATCAGTACTGCAATAGCTGGGAATGTAGCTCAGCAGTAGAGCAATTGCCTAGAATCACAAGGCCCCGAGTTTGAGTCCTAGCCCTGCAAAGAAAAAAGCAACTCTACCCTGCTTCCACCTCCCTAATAAGTGCCTCATTCTTTCCACTTTACCTGTCTCCAAGTATTGCATTTTATTTCCTTTCAGGATTTTTGTTTGTTTGTTTGTTTGTTTTGGTACTGGGGATCGAACTCAGGACCTTGCGCTTGCAAGGCAGGCGGCAGAACCACTGAGCTAAATCTCCAGCCCTGTTTTGTATTTTTAACTATATAAATGTATGTATTTTAAATGCACCTTTCACCAACTTTTCTTAAGCTAATAAATTAACAAAATATCAACATCAATGAATAAGTCATTCTCTAAATACACGCTAAGCACTGACAGTGTATTGTGTTCTGTGTTCAGTACTGGGGACTCACCAAGCAAGCCAGACATTATGGCCATTTCTTTCAAACAGCACTAGGAAGTCAAAAAACAAAGACGATATAAGCCTAATACAAGTGATGAGTGGTGATACACAGGGCCAGTTTAAGTTTATAATTCGGGGTTAGTGTGAGGAAGAGCCCAGGAAAACCATCAGAGAACTGGTACTTCCAATTAGAACCTATCTCTGGGAGGTGCTACTGGAAGATATTAAGATGATCTTGTTCCTTCCAGAGGAAATAAATGTCCTCATTGTTCTTTTCTCTCTTTTTTTGGTACTGGGAATCGAACTCATGACCTTCTGCTTATGAGGCATGTGGCGGAACCACTGAGCTAAATCCCCGGCCCTGTCCTCACTGTTCTTAACAGACAGCCTAAACTGTTTTATTAGTCTCTTCTGAGAAACTACAGTATTCATAACATATAGATCATATAGGTGGTAGCAATAATAATTTATTACATTATAATAAAAACTAAATGTCAGGCAACCTGCCAAAATATATTTAAACAGATAGAAAGTGTGCCCCCTCTCTTTTACAAAGTACAATTCTATAGGCATTAAAAATATATTTTCAGGTTATTTTGACTTTCAAGAAGTGCATATAAAATCGAATTGACTTAAAAACAAACTTCTGATATCTTCACTGGTACGGTTCAAAAACCATATATCTAAAGAAATGATTCACTGTAACTTTGCTAACTGGAGTTGATACAAATCATATGGCAGTAATCATATTTCATTTGGCTGGCACTTCTAAAAGCTGCACACTTTCTCGTGTTTTTCTTCTGCAAGTTTCAGCAAGACCAGAAGGTTTTTACCATCTGCATACCCACCAGCAGTCTGTGTATAGGTTCATTCATATCATCCCTTTTTTGTAAGTAAGAACAGTATTGAAGATTCATACTTAGTTTGCCAAAAGTTATTTTAAATTCAAATATCTGTGTTGCCAATTAAGACCTCAAACTCAAACAAATAAGTTAATTTATGTTCCTTTTAAGTTTGTCTCATGATTGAGCCCATCTGAAATAAAAATGGTCATAAATTTTTGGGAAAAATTGTTCTTATAACTTTAAGATTTTTTTATTACTTTTCATCCTCCTTATTTTTTCTTGTAATTAATGTATTTAATTCCAGGAAAATAATTTCTATATTTTTAATGTTTTCTTCTCATCTAGCATCAATTTTAAACATTTGACATGATTCCCTTTCCCCCACCCCTGCAACTTGCCGCACTGTTTCACTTAGCTCCTATTTTGATGTTTACATTGTTGCATTTTCTATTTGGAAATACAGAGTTAAAAACTGTCTAACACAAGGTCCTGGCTTTGTTCCCCAGCACTATAATAAGAAAAAGGAAACCTAATCTGGGACTTTTAATATTGCCTTCGTATAAAAGGGTAGCATAAACAAAATCAATATGTTAAGTCAAAAGACTGCTGCAAACACAGTATCTTCAAATCATGTGTATAATGAATTTAGTATTCAGAATATGTAAAAACACACCTTGACAACAAAAAGACAACTCAATTATAAATGACTTGAAATGACATTTCTTCAAAGAAGGGCTAACAATAACGTGAAAAGACATTCACTGTGCATCATTAGTTATTAGGGGAATGCAACTGAAAGCCCCATTAGTAGCATAGTAATAATAACCATAATAATGGAGAATAATGCTGGCGAGGATGTGAAGTTGGTGTCCTCAAAGACTGTCAGTGGGAATGTGTACAATGGCTCAGCCATTGTGCAAAGACACTTCAGCAGTTCTCCAGAAAAATTTAGACTGAATTACCCTGTGACCTCACAATTCCTCTCCTTGGTATATATAACCAAAAGGGTGGAAAACATATGTCCACACTAAAACTGCTAAACAAATGTTCATGGTGGCACTCCTCACAATAGCCAACAGGTGGAAACAACTAAAATATCTGTTCACTGATTAATGGATAAACAAAATGCAGTGCATCCACACAAGGGAATACTACCCAGCCATAAAAAGGAATGAAGCATAAATACTGTACATGGTACCACAAAACCAAACCCTGAAAACACTGTACTAAGTGAAAGAAGCCACACACACACCCCCCACACACACACAAATA